CGAGGCACCCCACTCCTGGTCCTGGTTTTCAAGTGCTGGAAAGCAACAGAGCCTGCCCATCTCGGGCCGACCTGAGGAAAGGAGCTGACGAGGGTTGGGGGCGGGTGGGGTAAGGCCCCAGCCTCGCTCTCCAGGAACACCCCATGGAGCCCCAGGGGCAGCCCTGGGGCTGCCCTCTCTTCCACCTGGAGACTGTGTCCCTCCAAATACCCCATGGGTTCTTCCCTTTAGAGCCTTTTCATCTCTGGCTACCCAGGGACACACAGCAAAAGATACCACAAACACGGAGGCTGTCAAAGTTCCTGGAATCTTCTGGCAAAGGTTGGAGACTCTTCCAGAATCTTCCAGAATCTTCCAGCACTCTAAGTGGTCATCTGCAGTCCAGCCTCCCTGACGCCTTGTCTCAAAACTGCCTACGTTCCCCCTTCCTCTCTACTAGGTTCCATAGGCCCCCTCCCCTTCCTCCCCAAAGCCCCACTCCACGATCAAGCATGGGGACACCAGCCTCCCCTGAGGGCCACCCCCCAAGACGTCCAGATTCCCCTGGGAGAGACATGCTTCCAAAGAGACATGATCGTCAGGCTCAAAGGGGGTGGCCGTGGAGGTGGGGGGGGGGGGGCATTTGCTTCGGGCCCTGAGCATTGAGGATGTCATTTCTCAATGAAAATGGGGCTGGAAGAGTACTTGGGGAGGGAAAACACAGAGGCATGGGAGGAAACAAGGAGGAAAACGGGGGACAAGAAGGAAGGGCCTTGTAGATGAGGCCAGGGAGACAGCTCAGCCGTGAGGGAAGGTTCTAGAAGGCAAGGGAGAGATATGGGTAGATTTTCATGGTAGAAAGTCACCTCTGGGGGCACAGAGGCAGGGCTCTGGCGGAAGGATCTAGGGCTGGGGCTGGACGGCCGGTGGGTGGGTGGTGGCCTGAGGCTCAGGCCCAGGCTTCTGGCCCAGGGGACAGGGCGGGGGACAGAGACGTGGAAGCGGCAGCAAGTGTGGGAATTCACCCCATGTGGGCTGCCGGGCGTCTGTGGGCCCTCCTGCCCGCCCCGAGGGCTGCCCCGGGCGCTCTGCTCATCGCGCCAGGTCCCGCAATCCGCTCGTGTGCAGCGGCCTTGGCCGTGGGCCCGGTGCGGGAGGGCAGGGGCCCCTACCTTTGGCCAGCTCCTCCTCTGCCGACTTGGTGCCCTGCTTCCTCTTGGGTTTCACTAGCTTCGTGCAGATGGCCCCCTTGTCCTTGCTGTAATGCTGGGGGGGGGGGGGGGGGAGACAGGGCAGAGGCAGCCGTGAGCCTGGCCCCACGGTGAGGGGACGCCCTGCATTCTGTGCCCTGAACCGGGTGGGCAGGAGCTGGGGAGAAGGGGGGTTTCCTTTCCTCCAGAGGAGTTGGGTTGGTTTCCATGGAAACGGAAAGGATGCAGGCTAGGAAACAGGAGGATCCCGGGGAAGGTGGGGCGGTGGTCTCTGGACGAGTGTCAGCTTGGAGGTTCCTAGGGGTCTAGAGGAGCCACCCCAGGGCCGCCCCCCCCCCCAGGGGTGCATCCAGAGGACTCAGACCACCTTGGGCTTGGTGGCCCACGGAGACCAGCCCCTCCTCCCCACGCAGCTTTGGGCGTCGGGCCCCACCCCCCCACTGCCGGCACGGGGCAGGGCCTGGGGTGTCCGCGCGGCTCTGGAGGCCCCGGGCCTCGCGGCCGCCGCACCTCCACCATGTCCATGAGGTTGCAGAAGCAGACGGCCTCGTCGATGGTCAGGTGGCCGTCGCGATGCAGCACCCGGTAGTGGATGACGTCGCGGCCGAAGCTCACGCACAGCACGTAGTCGCCCGGATGCCGCGCGGACTCTCGCACCAGGAACAGCCCGTCCTCTGGCGGCTGCAGCTGTTGCACGGCCTCCTGGCCCGAGATCTTCCCGTGGAACCACCTGCGGCCGGCGGAAGGGCGCGCTGGACCGGGCCGCCCAGGCCCTCCGGCCCCCCGGCCCCCGGCCCCCGGCCCCCGCCCTGGGCGGCCCCGCGACTCACGGCATGAGGCTGAGCTTGGGGTCGGCCGACAGGGCCTCCCGCTCCCGCAGCGCCCCCGCCGCCAGCAGACCCTCCTGCCCGCTGGCGTGGTGCTTGGCACGGTACCAGCTCTTGCTCTGCCAGGGAGGGAGCCAGGGGTCGGTGTCTGCGTGGGGGGCGGGGGGGGGGAGGTCCTGCAGAGGCACACCTCCCCAAGCGCCGCCAGGCCCCCGGGCCACCACCCACCTCACAGGCCTCCAGGATGGTGACCACGTCGCCCTTGTGGAAGGCCAGCTCTCCCGGCTTGGGGCGCGTGTGCTCACACTTGGTGATGCATTGGGTGCCTGGGGCCCAGCGCCTCTGCGGGGGGCAAAAGGGCATGAGAGATGCCAGGGGTGAGGAAGAAATGGAAACTGGGCAAAAGACAGCCAGGCAGAGGCAGAAAGAACACAAACGAAAGGGGGAGCAGCCAGGATGGAAACACCTGCTTCTACGAAGGCAGAAGCTCGGGAAGAAAAGGTGACAGAAATGCAGCGCCGGCTGAAGGGGACACGGTCAGAGTACAGCCCCCGACACGGCGCCGAGGTCCCGTGGGTGTGGACTGAGCAGGGCACGGGACGAGACACAGGCAGCCCCGGGGTGGGGGTACTCACCGTTGGCATCCTGGCCGAGACGAACGTGGGGCGCCAGGCACGGAGGAAGCGGGGGCTCACCTGGGTGAGGGGCAGAGACCAGCTGGAGAGCCCAGACTGGAGCCAGGCTGGGGCCCGGGGCCATTGCTAGCGAACCACTTCCAGCCTGGGCCAGATGGAGGCGACAGGGGGAGGGCATCCCCATAGGGGGTCCCGGGTGATGGCTCCCTAAGCCCCTTTGGGGAGGTGGTCTTTATCCACAGGAATTCCTGGTAGAGTTGCAGCCATGAAACATCAGCGAGGAAACCGCAGAATCTAGCCTCGCCACGGTCCCAAGAGGGAAACGGAGGCACAGGGTGGGCACAGAGCAAGGGGCCATATGGTGGGGAGGGGGGAAGCGCCTGGCTCAGCCCCCAGCAGTCACTCAGTGGGTGGGGAACACGGTGCCGCCTAACTGAGCTTGGTTCTTCCTCTTTTCTGGTAAGTGGGCAGGGGCAGGGGCAGAGCAAGGAACCAGAGGATGACTCAAGGTCATTCCCCACTATCCCTGACCCTAGGGTGGGGCCGGGACCGTGGGGGGGGGGGGAGGAGGGCAGGGGGCATGCAGCCCTCCTGGGCCCCTCTGGCCATGGGCTGAGCCTCTCTGATCCCCCACCAATCCCAACGCCAACCTAGGACAGACACACGGTCTCTTGCTGCTGCGGGGGGAGGGCTTTTCTCCCCCGGACCCCACAGCAGGTGAGTGGGCCGTGGGGACGGTTGGGAGATGAACCTCTGCCTCTCCAGTACTGCCCCCCGTAAACCCCCAGCCCCCTGTGTACTCACACGCATACTGATCCATGTACACACGAGCACACACAGAAACACATGGGGCTTGGACACAGGTGGACACAGGGACCCACGGGCACGCGGGTGTGCAAGCAAAGGCACGTTCACCTAGAGACAGGTGTGCACACGTCTACACGTGTGCACACACGAACAGCCTCTCCGACATCCAGAGATGTGTGTGCCTGTCTCCCCCAACACACACACGGACCCGCACTTGAACACCTGGGCGCCAGACGCGGGGCCGCCAGGGCACCCGGCGCTACAACGAGCTACACGCAGGGCCGCGCACACGCATCTCGGCCACACGCGAACATCCCCTCCACGTGGACGCGCGGATACACACACCCGGGAGCCTGAAGACGCGCACACTCGCACCCAGAAAAATACCCCCCACCCCGCGCCCGATCGCCTCTAACCACCCGCTACCCCAGCCGCGTACCGGCCGCGCACGCCGGCCGCGCACACTGGCGCTCACACCGGCTGCTCCAGCGCACGCCCGGGACGCCCCCGGGGCCCTCGGGGTCCCCCCCCACACACACACCGCCACTGCCCCAAGGTCTCTCCCCTTACCCCCACCACCGGGCTCACCTGCTCAGGGGGCGCCCCCGGGCCGCGCCCCGCGCCCACACCCAGGAGGGCCCCCGAGCGCTGGCTGGGCACCCCAAGGCAGCCCTGGCTGCACAACTTGGAACAAGTTGCTCCGTTTCCTCAATTTGGGGG